TTAACTTCCAAGCCGGTCTATGTTACCCCTGTCTCTTATACACATCTAGATGTGTATAAGAGACCTGCCTACCACAACCACCGCACCCACCACAACCACCGCACCCGCCAAAACCACCGCATCCACCATAACCACCGCACCCACCACAACCACCACAACCACCACGCCCACCACAACCACCGCGCCCACCACAACCACAGCGCCCACCACAACCACCACGCTCACCACAACCACCGCACCCACGCCCGCGGTGTTCGTCTCAACGGCCACGACCAAAAACGGGTCTCTGAGCAACCAGGCGAATGTGTGCGCTGCCGTGGGCGGCAAACCCATGGTCATCAAAACGGCGGCCGACCGCTCACTGGCGGCCGACGTTACTGCAGGTACTAGGCGCTGTCACTAGTTATTTAAGACATTGGGATGCTAGCGGGCGCTGTCACTAGTTCTTTGCAGCATTGGGATACTAGCGGGTGCTGTCACTAATCTCTGAAGGCATTTGGGATGATAGCAGGCGCTGTCACTAGTTTTTACAGCATTGGGATGCTGGCGGGCGCTGTTAGTTAGTCCTTTAAGGCATGGAGATGCTAGCGGGCGCAGTCCCATGAAAGTTAAAACTTTGGATTCATGTTGTACACAGATAAAGGCTGCAACTTCTGGGGCACCACTGTCTCTTATACACATCTAGATGTGTATAAGAGACAGGAGTTATAACGGTGCTGCAGGGTTCTGGTGGTGCAGCAGAGTTATAACGGTGCTGCAGGGTTCTGGTGATGCTGCAGAGTTATAACGGTGCTGCAGGGTTCTGGTGATGCTGCAGAGTTCTGACGTTGGTGCAAAAAATGCCTCGTGGCAGGGGCTGCGTCGTAGGTTGCAGTACCGGTATATATGGTACCATTAAATAATGTGGGTTATAATACCGTGAGTTATAATAACGTGACTTATAATACCGTGACTTATAATACCGTGAATTATAATACCGTGACTTATAATACCGTGAATTATAATACCGTGACTTATAATACCGTGAATTTTAATACCGTGACTTATAATACCGTGACTTATAATACCGTGAATTATAATACCGTGGGTTATAATACTGTTGATCTGGTCTGTGCAGGCGCGTGTGTGCAGTGAAGTCTTAAGCAGCTTACGATGCGAGCTTAAGAAAACAAGTGCAGGATTTAGTGGACTGTATGTACATTCATACAGTCATTCATACATTCATACAGTTGTGTACATTCAAGTGTTTTTATATCTAGAGGTAAAAGGAATCTGTGATGCATGTGATTTAATTTAAACGTTTATTCTTCGTCAGATAATTTCAAAGTGAATTTCTTGGTAAGCAATTGAATTTGAATTTAAAATTAAAATCAAAATCTGGAGTGTTTTCTCGGCGAGATGGAACGGACACGCGTCTTCGGAGGCCTGCGTGAGAAGCTGCCGACGACCTTGCCTTTGATGCTAATCTGACATCTTCAAAATTTATCAGTGAAATTGTAACATTTTCGGGCAAATTCTTGCATTTTTCCCTTCCATTTCTGCTCTTTTCGTTTCAAAATTACTGACATTTTCGTTCCCAAAATTCCAGCTTCCGTTTTCTGCAAAATTTTCACTTTTTCACAAATTCTGCTCCTTTCCTCCCTTTTTTCTCCTTAAATTTTCCCCACATTTTCGATTCCTTATTCCCCAACATTTATTTCATTCCTGCTGCTTTCTCCCCCAATTCCCGTAGCGCATTACTCCCATCGCCACTATACCCTCGTTCGTGCTGCTGCCAATTCCCACTGCCCTCATTCCCATTCCCGCCGCCTTGGACTCCAATTTGTGGAGATCATCTCTCCGTGCTAAGGGTGAGTGCTCGCCTTTACTCACCTCAGGGTTGGTGATTTTTTTGATTAAAAAAATAAATAAATAAAAAATCAATTATTTGTTTATTTTTTTTCATCATTTTTTTTTTATTTTTTGATTTTTTCAGCTTTTTTGGTCTTTTTGAAATGTTATTTTTCATTTGCAATTAGCCTACTAACAATAACAGAATATGGATCACTATGGATGGCTAAAAATAAGCACTTATTGCCTTCAATATGTCATTTATGTTATGCCTTCTGTCATTTATGTTCATCACTCATTGTCATGGACGAGTAAAATGTTCTCATTCTTATAGAATAGAATAGAATAGAAGTGTCGGCGTTGAAGAAATAGGCCCATGGCCTGTTGCCGATTCTTGAACTTTTCGTGACTTGATTCGCAAGGGATCAGGCCTTTGGAACCTGATCTTTCCATAACTGACGATTGATTGAGATAGCTGCTGGATAGTTCATCGTCACTCCGGTCTCGGTCTCGGTCCTGGTCCGGTCTGGTCGTACTATTTATTTTTCATCATGAGAAAAGTCCTTGAAATTCGCTTATAGTTGACTTATTGCTAGATTTATTTATTATTATTTATATCTGATTTTTAAAGGAAAATATATCTCGTAGGGGAAAAAATTATCTGTTTAAAAAAAATTACCGACTTAGCCAATATTTTTGTACAATTTTTTCACTTATTTATAAAATTTGCCTTGTTGGTTGCCTAAATGTACGAATCAGTTCGATCACAATGCTATTCCTACGAGAGTGTGTAAGTGGTGTCTCGACGCGTCATGAGTGCCTTGTGAGTGGTGTCAGTATTGACTTATTTGAAGGAAACCCTAGAAAATAGAACCATAGAAAAGAGAACAATTAGGATGAAACAAGGAAAACAGTACAGGGATAAAAACAGTTATAGTTATTCAGCTGCACCAAGACAACAACTAGCAGCATGCTGGTCTATGGTCTAAGTTGAAGTCGGGCTATTACGTTTGTGGTTAAAGTACAAGGGCTCCACAGACCCAAAAGAACCAATATTGGGCCCTACACTGTAGGCTTAAAGTTAATACAAAATATTTTCAACGAGTGAACGCAGAAGCTTGAACATGCAAGTGTAGGCTAAACAAACGTAAGACACATTGGCAAAGACTCAAAGTAAGATATAGAAAAATTTAATTTAATCGTAAGTAGTAACCATGTTTAATTATAAGTCTCCAGAGTTCTAAGGTTAAGTTTATGCTCTCAGATGAAGCAAATGATCGACGATCTCGTCTCTTGACAGGAGACTTTCAACAAGCGTGCAAGTATTTTTCTGGCATTAATAGATGATAAATTATAACAACCGGTCCCCAGACTGTTAAACGTGACTACGGCGCATTATCCTTCATTTATTTAGGTAATGCAAAAATGCTGTTGCTTGCTAATTGCTGAGGGTAGTGGCCTATAACCGGACGATCCGGGGTCTTGCTCAAGAACGCATCCAGTCGTCTTCTGAATGTCTCAAGGCTGCATGTTTAAGCCGTTTTGGCATGGTGTTGAACAGCCTTGGTCCAGCCAAGAACAGTGATCTTTCTCGGAGAGTTTGAACTATGGCCGCAGTTCAGATTGTTTAATTGGGATATCCTCTACATTCTTCCCCTCCTTTGATTGTGATATGTCACTATTCTGAATGTCTCGCTTTCAATGTTTGGATCCTGTCCGGTTATCACCTTCCAAGTGTTATAGTGTTATATACACCTCTCCCTTCTCTTCTCAACTGAGTATAGTCTTGGATGCTCCAACCTATCCCAGTAGCCCAGTCCCTCATCACGCTGATCCTGGTGGTGAAGGTCCGTTGGACTGCCTCCAGTTGTCTCACCGCGCTCGGATTGAGAGGTGCCCAAAGCTGGCAGCAGTACTCGAGAATGAAGAGCACAAGGGCTCTGAAAAGCGTAATTACAATAACCATTGATGCCGATTATCTTGTTAGAAATGTCCGCCAAATTCCCCCCCATCTGTTGCCTGCCTTTTGCAACTATTGCCGCGATGTGTTTGTCAAACGTAGCTTCAGTTCTTATTAACACATTGAGATCACGAACACGTCGCTTCTGCTCAATTTCTGCGCTGTAAGAAGCCAAGAAGTGGTGCACCATACCGATCTCTATACCATTTTTTATCTCATTATTTAGAACATGGTGCTGTTGAATTGCAACCCTGCCAGTTGGGAAGTTGTAGATCTACTTCTGCAAGCTTACTTCTACCTCCAGCAGAACAAAATTGTTGCGCTACCAACATTTAGAGCAACTTTGTCTAAAGCTGTCGCATGCTGACAGCTGCTGGCAGCACTGCTGGTTTTCCCAGCCCCTGACTCACGCTGCTACTCATGCTGACAACTGCTGGTAGCACTGCTGGTTTTCCCAACCCCTGACTCACGCTGCTACTCATGCTGACAACTGCTGGCAGCACTGCTGGTTTTCCCAGCCCCTGACTCACGCTGCTACTCATGCTGACAACTGCTGGCAGCACTCCCAGCCCCTGACTCACGCTGCCACTCATGCTGACAGCTGCTGGCAGCACTGCTGGTTTTCCCAGCCCTGACTCACGCTGCTACTCATGCTGACAACTGCTGGCAGCACTGCTGGTTTTCCCAGCCCCTGACTCACGATGCCACTCATGCTGACAGCTGCTGGCAGCACTGTTGGTTTTCCCAGCCCCTGACTCACGCTGCCACTCATGCTGACAGCTGCTGGCAGCACTGCTGGGTTTCCCAGCCCTGACTCACGCTGCCACTCATGCTGACAACTGCTGGCAGCACTGCTGGTTTTCCCAGCCCTGACTCACGCTGCCACTCATGCTGACAGCTGCTGGCAGCACTGCTGGTTTTCCCAGCCCTGACTCACGCTGCTACTCATGCTGACAACTGCTGGCACTGCTGGTTTTCCCAGCCCTGACTCACGCCTGTCTCTTATACACATCTAGATGTGTATAAGAGACAGGTCTTGCATATTGTATCATAGTTCATCACTTCTGTCTTGCATATTGTATCATAGTTCATCACTTCTGTCTTGCATATTGTATCATAGTTCATCACTTCTGTCTTGCATATTGTATCATAGTTCATCACTTCTGTCTAGCATGTTGTGATGCTGGAGCAATTTCACACATTTAAATTTCATTTGACCAGCTGAAATTCATGATAAGGGTACTTCTTAACTAAAATTAAAAACTGCAAAATAAAAGAAACGGAATTTTTATACCCGAACCTACATTTTTACTAGTACATGTTGGGTCATAGGCCTTTTTTGGCCTTTTTTGTTCGCGGACTTGGCCGTTTTTTAGGCCATTGTGCAACCCTGTACTATGTACCACTAGAAATATACTTCGTGGCACGCATATGTACCACTTCGGGGTACGTGTAAAATGTAAATCAAGACGTTATTCGTGACAATATTCTTAAAGTTCTACATGACGATATTCCGTAGGTACGTTATTATAATGTCGTTATTTCGTTATTTAAGACGAAATTTAGGCCGTTACTGTCTGGAAAATAGTGATTCCTGCCGCGTACGGTAACGTGTACGTGTATCTGTAATGTGTACACATGCGTGCACACACGTGTACGCGTAGGTGCCGTGTACACCTGCGTGCACACACGTGTATGCGTAGGTGCCGTGTACACCTGCGTGTACACACGTGTACGCGTAGGTGCCGTGTACACCTGCGTGCACACACGTGTACGCGTAGGTGCCGTGTACACCTGCGTGCACACACGTGTACGCGTAGGTGCCGTGTACACCTGCGTGCACACACGTGTACGCGTAGGTGCCGTGTACACCTGCGTG